CAGTTACCAGAGATGTGAGGCAGACCAGGCCTCCTGCCGACAAGGACTGATGTGTGTCAACGTTTGCACCAGAGGAGCACAAACATGTGAGTGCACATTACCGTGTCATGTTTTTAAAGACTTTTAACCAACGTGTCTGCGTCTTTCGAGGAAAGTCTCCCAGCAACGACTCAGCGCTGTTTTTTTAATTTTTTTATCCCCATCGTCTCATTTAGTTTTCAGCTCAGGCTCTGCAGGTTCACAGTTCACTTCCTTCTATCTCTATCTTCCTGTTCTGCTGGCTTTTTTTATCTACATTTAATCAACCCATTTTTCCACACTCCCTAACTTTCACTCTCTCTCTCTTTCATCTTTCTCAGTTTACCATCCATCCCCGCCCTCACCCCCGCCCTCACCCCAGTGACCCCCAGCACATGTTTAATCACTGCCTGCCTGCCTGCCTGCTTGTCGGTCAGTCTGTTTGTCAGGGTATGAATAATGAATGTATATTGAGTGTGGTCAGCATATGGTCAGATGGCCATTATGGATCTATCTGCACTAGGAGAACGCTGAGTGTATGCTGACACCTATCCAGTTAAAACCCATAGGGGCCTTGCCAAGCCCCAGGACCCCCAGAACCAGGCAGAGAGAATAGGCCAATCTACTCAGCGCTACCTTAAGACTACACCCTACTCTAGTGAAGTTCTGCAGCCCACAACCTTTTTTGTATCAAGCACCAGTCCGCCCAACTACAGATCTATAAACACCTGGATGGAACACCAACTTGAACCAGCACTAAATGTCCCAGAGACTGGTACCGGTCCAGGATCCAGGGCTTGGGGACACCTGCCTTACTTAACCACGTTGGTCTGTTGTTGTGCACTAATTTGCAAGCTGTCTTTGTGTCAGCACACACGTCAGGCTGAGACACACTCTCTCTGCTCTTCTGTATCACCTCTCCTGCCTCTCACTCTGGTCTCCTCACATTTTTTCCTGCTCACTCAGCCCCCATGTTATCCCTCCCTGCTCACCCCATTCCACCACACATGACAGCACCAACAGCTTTGGTCGTCACAGTCAGCACCAGCCGGCTGACCCTGCAACCCCCCACCCCCACCCCTCCCAGCACCTACTTCCCCAAAAGCCCCAATCCTAAAGTCTGGACTCCGACAATGACCTCCAAAAGTCACATGACTTAATCCAAGCTCTCCTCCACACACACACACACACACACATTTACAGGAAAATAATGCTGTGCTTCAGTGCTGCCTCATTTTTGCCCTATTCACACACATTTGATCTTTTACCCTCTCTCACACCGGTCTCTCCTAATCTGTCTCTGCCCCCCCCCACCCTGATCCTGCAATCTTTCAGACACACACCATTTCAAACATGCTTCTCTCAGTTTGCTTTAGTTATAAATTATTCATAAAATATAAATATACTTTCAAGAAAATCCTCTTCTTCTTTTCATAACATCATGTCTATATTAACTTTGCTGACAGCTGACCTGGTTTCTAGCACATGAAAGTCAAAACAAGGGGTTTTAAATCATATAGTCATAATATGAAAAAAAAAAAACCTTAAATAACTGTAGAAAATAATCAAACTATTGGAACAGGAGTTATTTGGGGTTTTAACAGCGGGTACATTTTACCTAAAATTACATGCATTTCTCTAACATTACCTTGTGGTACATCATTTTCCCCAAAGCTAAAGGTTACAGGGATTCAATCACACCTCTGTGTGTGTGTGTGTGTGTGTGTGTGTATTTGTGCTGCCTTCAGTATGTGAGCGTAAAAATGAATTCATAAAAAGATCTGAAACATGTTTGCTTGCTGCCCGCATCTGTTTGACTGGTGTCCTCGTCCGTCCTTCAGCCGATGAGTGTGTGTATTTACATACTGCCACACCAGTGCACATTTCTCTGACTAACCCTGAAATGTCCCCATGTTTACACCACTGGAACTAATGACAGTGTTTCTACAATCCTTCAAAATTAACCCTTAAGGTCACCAAAAGACACACACACTTAGTTGGACTCACACACACACAAACACACACACACACAATGTTTTATAACCTGGAGGTTTTCTAGGACAGGGGTCTCAAACTCAGATGGACTGAGTGCAACCACCACATCAGTTAAGTTCAATACAAAAAACACCCAAGATGTACGGAGTTCATTGACCCTAAGTGGCCCCCGGGCCGTGAGTTTTACACCACTTTTCTAGGACATTCTGCATACCTACTGTATTTCTTTTTTTTTTTTTTTTTAATTCTCTCTGGTCTTCCCGTACTTGAACCAAAAAACTCTGTTCCCGGACAATGAGCTCTGTGTCTCAGGGCAGGTAGAACTGAACCAGCTCTAATAGAAAGAGAACAGGAGGAGCTTTTTTCCCCTCCGGAAAAGGTTTGACAGGGTATTTCCGTTTCACAGAGAAAATCTTGTGATAATTATGTGAAAAAAAAAACAAAAAAAAACAAAACTTTGGCTTTGTTAAACCTTTGGTCAAGTGTTCAGAAAACAACATTAATATTGGTAACAATAAACGTTGTGGTATATATATATATATAT